GAATTCTAATTTTATTAGGCTTTAGCGTTAAGACCACAATTTCAATGTACAAGGATTAAATTTTTATATATAGCGGTTTAAAGTAAGAAAGATATATAAACACACTTAGTGTGAGAGAAACAAAGACATAGAAAGATAATTATGGATAGATTTTGACACTCTTTAAATGACAATGAATGCAATATTTATTGACTTGCACACAAAATTAATACTTACAATGAAGACATAGTAATATTTATTGAATTACGAAGAAAATTCACTGTTTAAATTAAAGATTAAATGAAATTAAATGCACCGATCAGGAAAAAAATTCAAAAAATTATAGGATGTCAAAGAGTCATTTTTGGGATATCCTGCATATATATATATATATATAGTAATGGTAACAAATCCGTTGGTATGTAATCCAAGTGCATCCTAGTTGTATAAAATATTAAAACTGATCCACAAAAAGAGCTCAATGTTATTATTACAGAGCAAATAATTAATAAACAATAAAATCCCAAATCACCGCATATGGGGAATAATCTATTTCAGGTATATATATATATATATATATATATATATATATATATATATATATATATATGTGTGTGTGTGTGTGTGTGTGTGTGTGTGCCTAAATAAAGTGAAAGAAAATCAAGTTTAGAACCCACAGTTCTTTAACATTTATTTAAAGTTACCCAACATCGCTTGAAATTGGGACAGATAAATTCCCGTGTCTAGATTTAAAATATTTTTTATATATATATATATATATATATATATATATATATATATATATATATATATTATAATAATAATAATAATAATAATAATGAACTCTTATGAGGATCATTATTATTATTAAAACCCACCCAAGTGATTTGATTAAACTGGTGAAGGCTTGTACAGAACCACCACACTTTTCGGAACTATTGATACACTTAGTCGGTGCAAATAAATGCCACAGACGAAGCAGACAATATACCTCAGGCTTTTCGTGTAAGAGTTTTCCATCTCCTAGACCAATCGTGTTCTATAACACTAAAGAGCTTATATATATATATATATATATATATATATATATATATATATATATATGTGTGCGTGTGTGTGTGTGTGTGTGTCTGTGTGTGTGTGTATGTGTGTGTGTGTGTGTAGATAGATAGAGAGAGAGAGAAAGAGAGAGAGAATTGGTAAAAAAATTGATAAAAATTTGATTGATGTCATCTTCAGCATCCCGACTCCAGAGTTTCGTAGACGAACGCGTTCCTCCACTCTTCAGAGGATATCAACAATTAACTGCTTAAATTTTTCGATTTTTTTTTTGATCATCGGTGAAATCTTTTTTTTTCGGTACAGACATAATTATGAATTTGGGTATCAATTTCTCTTTGATGCAAGTTTCATTAAAAACGACAAACAAGATACCTTGGTTAAGTTTTCTTTTTTTAAATTTTCCTCGTATTTTTATAATTTTCTTCTTTTCTGGACATAAATTATGTAGGAATTATCCAAATGCTATGCCTGTCCGAGCGCTTTCGGCTTTAATTTCAGCCATTATCTATTTCTATGATTTTATTGTTGCTTTTAACTAAATGTATGGATTTTTATGCATGTATCTAGACTTATAGGAATGTTTTATTTTCCAAATACGGTCAGCACATTGTGGCCGTAATCATAATTGATGTTACTGAGGATTCTCTTTTTCTTTTATATCAATAATGGTTCTATTATTTTAGTCATTTTACAAGTATTTTTTTTTATTAAGTACATCAATAAAGTTAAGGACAAATATCGATTTCGTTTTTGTATTAAGGTAAAATAAAAATGTCATCTACACAGCGGACATACATTTTACAGTAATTTCTTTTAAATACCTTGTTTTCTACGTTTAACAGGTAGTAGTTAAAGAAGCAACCAACATCTCTAACGCACATACATACATACATATATATATATATATATATATATATATATATATATATTGCACAATATGTGGACATATATTCACGACACCAAGCGGGACTGACGTGTCACATACGACAGAAATATAAAAACTGAATGGGATTGTCGGATCCTCGAATTATATATAAGGGTGTTTCATTAAAACGGATCAAATTCAGCAGTAAATAGATCAGTGTTATTGTTGAAAATTTATTTATTTCTCTATTGGATCATGTTATTTAAGTCATGGCAATTATGTGTGAAACATTATATTGCCCAAATGTCCGCCATATCTGAAAGAAAAAGAAAAAAATCATTAGACGCTTAAAACATATAAAATCGGTCCAAGTAATATATATATATATATATATATATATATATATATATATATATATATATATATAGGCACATTTCATTGAATACGACAGACAAGTTGCTTAAATTTAGTTTTTTATACAATTTCTCCTGCGATCTAATAATATTCTTCTTTTCAGATGATAAATTATATAAAAAATATATATAATAAATGTATAGCCGAAAGCGCTCGGATAAAAAGAACATTCGGACAGTT